CGAAGGGAAGCTGGAGTCTCAGAATGTGGATGTTGGGAAAGAGGTCAGGCTCCGGGCTTCCAGAAAGTGGTGTGTGTGTGTGTATGTGTGTGTGTGTGTGTGTGTGTGTGTGTGTGTGTGTGTGTGTGTGTGTGTGTGTGTGTCCATGGTTCCTGTTGCCGGGGCTCAGCCTAAGTCACCACATCCTCGGGAAAGCGCTCTTTTTCTGCCTTTCAGACTATGTTAAAGCCTCAGTCTCTGCACTTGTAAGACTCTCTAAGTGCACTCCTGCAGGACACAGAATTTCCAACTGTCCTTCTGTTTGCTGACATTCGAAGCAGACCCGCCTCTCCTAAGGGCCCATGAGCATCGAAAGGAAGCATGGTTGTTTTTGTCCTTCAATACATCTCAATGCTCGCTTGCCACACTGCCTGGTCCACTGCCAGAGCACAGTAAATATTTGCTGAATAAATGAGTGAGCTGCATTCAAAGTTCCTCTTTATTTTTAACGACAGGGTTGCCCATAGCCCAGGCTGGTCTCAAACATGTTATGTAGCCAGGGATGACATGGAGGTCCTGATTCTCCCAACTCTGCCTGTCCTGGGTTTACAGGCATGTGCCACCATGCCTCCGTCACAAAGGGGGCTGAGTGACACTGTTTGGGCTCCGAGGGCAGCTGTGAGTCCAGATGTTCTGGCTTCTGTTCAGGGCCCGGTCTATGTCCAGTCTCTGTCCTTGTATCCAAAGAGCACTCAAGCAAAAGAAAGCAAAAGAATCGTCTCCTGGAGGAAGGGGGCAGAGAGGTGGCAACAGAGCATCAGGGTGGCTCAGACCGAGCAGCTCTTGCTCCACTACCTGAATTTCCACATTTCCTCTCCCTTTTTAAAGATTTTTTTTTTTTTAGGACCAAGTCTTGCTATGTAGCCCAGGCTGGTCTTGAACGTGCGCTCTTCCTGCCCGACCCTCCCCAGTGTTGACTGTACATATATCTATCCCGTGCCTAGCTCCCCATTTTTATTCCAGTTTTACTTTCTAGTTATAAAACCAGGGCCCGGGTGCATGTTAGGTTTGCACTCCATGCCTCAGCAACACCCCCCAGTCATCCCTTTCTTCTCTCACTGAGGTCTCCTTCCCTCAGAATATGTTTGCTCGCCCTGGAGCTAATATACTTAAACAGCATCCTCTTACCTGGTAAAGCCCCAAGAGAGAGATGGCCCTGAGGGTGGGACCAGAGTCTCTGGAGGGAGTCCAGTCCCGACAGGGACACAGCAAGGACCTCCATCGTTGGCCCTTGGCTCAAGACCACTTTGAAAACATCCAGCTTCAGCTGAAGAGGGAGCCCCATGTCCAAGGGTAAAGCTAAGTTTGGCTCCACTCCAGAAGACAGCACCACCTTCTGCAGTGGACGGGGCAGAGACAGACATTGAGAGAGCAAAGAAGGAGGCCCAGCTACACTCTGTTGCTCCCTCATCTGTTTTAATTCAGCCTCTGCGCTATACATCCATGTGATTTCCCGCTTTGACCTTCTATGAAATCATCCCCAGCCCCAAATAAACAAGCAGTCTAGGTAAAAGCTGTTTGCGTTCTGTGATGTCTCTGACTCTCCACCATTTAAGCCTTTCTACTATTAAAAGCCCCCTTGGCTCATTTGTCCCAGAATCCACTAACCATAGCCAGCATCCCACCCTCTTCCTTTACGTGATCTTGGAGGTGAAGGGTAAGCCAAGAAGAATTTGTTCCTGTCCCAAGAGCAAGCAGGCATCCTGAACCTTCCGCCAGCTTTAATCCCAGCTCCAGAGAAAAGCTCCAGGGGTCTGTGTGAGGCTGGGGAATGTCTAGGGGGAGAAATGAGTCTCCTGAGGCCTTAGGTTTTATGGAGAGATGGGTACAGTGTTAAAGAGAGACAAAGAGAGGCAGAACTGGACATGGAGGGGAAAGAGATTTTCAAAAGTCTACCTTGGAGACTGAATTCTGCATGGGTCCCTGCAGGGAAAAACAGTCCAGGTTGCAAGTCCACAACATCACAGTTTCCGAGGCTAGTAGGGGCAGAGGGTGAGAGCTGGGCCTGGTGACCCAGCCAAGTATCTCGACGTATACAGCCATCCAGGGCAGGCGCCAGCTGAAGTGAGTGGGAGGGGAGCGGAGGGAAACGTTGGGACGGTGGAACCAGGGTATCTGAATCCTGACCCCAAGCACATTCCCTCAGACACGTGAAGGCTTAGCTTTCTCCATGTAGCGCCACTCCACCTCCCGCTCCCTAGAATCTGAATGTAGGTTTCCGTAGCTTGGCCCTAGGATGTAGTTACCGGGAGCCGAAGCCTGGAGGCGGGGAGGAGTCCCCCTAGAGCGATCCTCATGGTGGTCTGGGAACTGTCAGCCAGGGATCTAGAGACCTGTCTCAGGCACAGTATGTCCTTCCCATCCACCCACAGCAGCAGTGAATCCCCATTCATCTTCAGCTCCACCTGCAGGAGATGGTCAGAAGTAGAAGAAAGCTGAAGCAGAGGGCCCGGAGCCTGCCGCCTCCGCTTTCTTCAGAGTCCAGCTGAGAGAAGATGCCCTTGTAGGCACATCCTTGGCTCACTCAGACTGTGCCACTTACATACTGACTCAGCCTTGGGATTTCCATCTGATGAAACAGAGACAAGAATAGCTCCGTCACCGGGACTGTGTCTTGCTAAGAAGAGAGGACCATGGCGAAGGGATGCTCCTGTTCTCCTTCCTCATCAGATCAAGGTGACCTCTCCCCACAGAGGCAGAGTCCTCTTACCTGGTGCCATCTCCCATCATTCAGCTGAGGGCCAAAGCCTACTGTGAGCCGAGCCCAGAGGTTGTACAGCTGGATTTCAAGCTGGCCATCGCGAAGTCCCAGCATGAACCAATCATCTTCGGTGTTGGTGTCCCCATAAAAAATCACTCCCTCTGGATCCAAGGTTCGAAACTCAAAGGAGGAAAGGGGTCTGGAAGGACACAGGGGAGACTGTATATGGGGTGTGGGGGTTTCAGGGTGGAGGGGAAAGGAACTTAGGGAGATAACACAGCAGGGAAGAGGAGAAGGCTGGGTCAAGAGGCCAAGTTGCAGGGTTGGAGAGATGGCTCAGCGGTTAAGAGCACTGGCTGCTCTTCCAGAGGACCAGGGTTCAATTCCCAGCACCCACATGGCAGCTCACAACTGTCTGTAACTCCAGTTCCAGGGGACCTGACTCCCTTCCACAGATATACATGCAGGCCAAACATTAATGCACACAAAAATAGAAATAAGTTTTTTTAAAAAAAGAGGCCAAGCGACTCATACTTGCTGATTTTGGTGAGGTCAATGGTCATCACAGAGACGGGCTCCTGTCCTGGGCCATTGCTGAGGTACCTAGCCGGAGGGTCCTGGGCACTCTGTCAGAAAAAGAAAATAAGCTGACCCAAGACATTTCAGAGACAGGCACAGCTACAGGGTCGGAGGAGGAGAGAAGGGGAAGACAGCCGAAATGCAGCTCATTTCAACACACAGGGGTGAGAACCCCGTCCCGTTCCCGTCCCGTACCTCGGCGAGGACAATGAGTCCCAGGGCCTGTCCCTGGCGGGTGTGAGGTGGGGACAGCAGCAGCAGCAGCTGAAGGAGCCATCGGTGCCGGCAGGCCACAGAGCCTCGGTTCTCCATAGTCGGCAGCTGTCCACTCCGTGGCTCAGACGATCTGAGGAGAACGGGTGGGGGTAGGGAGCCTTGCCCGGGGTGGTGGAGGGTTAAAGGTTGCGCCGGGGGGAGAAGGGGGGCAGGAGATGGGGCCGCTGACCGTGCGGCCCCTCTGAAGTCAGATGAGGTGGAGGACAGAGTCCCTCCGCAGCACCACTACCCCCCCCCCAAATCTGTGAGAGAGCATCTCACCTCTTCTCCTCCCCTGTCGGCCAGTGTGGCTCCGCCAAGCGTTCCTCCCACAAGGGGAGGCTGCCTAGGCCAACCTAAGCTCTGGAAATAGTTCTCCTTGCTCAAGCAGCATCTTCTACCAGGGCTAAAGCTGAGGTGTGGAATCCAGATATCTTGCTGACTGACCTTGGGAGACACACTTCACCTTTGTGCTCCAGTGACTTTGTCAAAGGGGGAACATAACGCTTCTTTCATGGAGCTGCTGGGCATGGAGACTGGGACGGCACAGGCAGAATGCCCAGTGACTGATATGAACGCCTCCCTTAGCTTTCCCACATCTTACGATGCTGCTCTCACAAGGAGGTATTGTCTCTCTCTGTGTTTTAATGGCTACTAAGAAGAAATCGGCCAATAACCCGAGCACGGGCGAGACTGAGACAGCAGGATCACGAGTTCAAAGCTAGTCTGGGCTACACAGAAAGACTCTTCTCAACAGTGGGGGTACAGACGGCTCAGTGGGTGAGAGCATCTGCTGCCAGCCTGAGGACTTGAGTTTATGCCCCAGGACCCACAGGATGGAAGGAGAAAACTGACTCCCGAAAGGTGTCTTCTGGCCTCCACATACGCATGTGTGCACACGTGTGCACAGGCACATGTCACACACACACACACACACACACACACACACACACACACACACACCAAATGTTTGAAATAAGGAAGGAGGAAAATAGTGAAAAAAAGCAATAAATATTTGTAGCTGGACATAGTTGGACATTCATTTAATCTCATCACTTGGGAGGCAGAGGCAGGTGGATCTCTGTGAGTTTGAAGTCAGCCTGCTCTACGCAAGTTCTAGGCCAGCCAAGGCTACATAGTACTGTCTCAAAAAAAAAAAAAAAAAAAGGAGAGGAAAGGAAAAAAGTGGGGGGTGTGGGCAGCAGTAGAGAGATGACTCAGTGGTTGGGAGCATTGGCTGCTTTTCCAGAGGCCCTGGTTTCCATTCCCATCACTCATATGGTCGCTCACAACCAACTGTAACTCTAGGACCCAGGGATCCAACACACTCTTTTGGCCTCTGTAGGTAGCAGGCATGTAGGTGATTTACAGATATACATGCAGGTAAATACCCATACACATAAAATAAATTTAAAAATTAACAACTATAGATTAAAAAGAAAGTTATGCTGGGCATGGTGGCGCACGTCTTTAATCCCAGCACCCTGGAGGCAGAAACAAGGGTGTAGCTGGAGTTTTCCTGGTCCTGCCTGGCCCACAGTCAGGACAAATCTCTCTCACCTGCCAATCCCAGAGCCACTCAGTCCCAACCAAGTAAACACACAGAGACTTACATTACTTATAAACTATATGGCCGTGGCAGGCTTCTTGCTAACTGTTCTTATATCTTAAATTAACCCATTTCTATTAATCTATACCTTGCCACATGGCTCATGGCTTACCGGTATCTTACATCTTCTTCTCACTAGGGCTGCTGGCAGCATCTCTCTGTCTCAGCCTTCCTCCTCCCAGAATTCTCCTCTCTCTTTGTCCTGCCTATACTTCCTGCCTGGCTACTGGCCAATCAGCACTTTATTTATTGACCAATCAGAGCAACACATCCACAGCATAGATAACATCCCATAGCACTTCCCCTTTTCTTTTCTTTTTTTCAAAAAAGAAGGTTTTTAACTTTCACATAGTAAAATTACATATAACGAAACAATGATCAAGCAAGAACTACAGTTACAATATTCAGTCTATTTATAATATCTAGTCTATTTGTATTTGGCAAAATTAAAGAAGATATTCTATCTATCTTATATTTGTGAGTCTAAGGTTTCATATCTAACTTATCTTTTATCATAACAAAGAAAATTATAACTATCTAGTCTTCAACTACATCAAAGACTCCAGAAGGATATGCTCTTACCTGACAAAAGGGAGATGGACTCAAGCAACTTTTGGGAGTCTTGCAAGAGTAGACAGAGACAGCTGGCAGCCTGGACAGTCATCCAAAGTTCCTCTGTAAAGTTGGGGCATCTGTCTTCAGCCCACAGGCTTAGAGTCTCTCAGTCACTTCTCTCTATGTCCTGTAGAATGTCTGGCAGTTTCCTCTGTGAAGCAGGAACCTGAAGGACCATTTTGCCAAGCAAAGTTCAGTGGTCACCTTCCTATGGGTCCTGCATGTCCAGTTGATCAAGCAGTCCAGGCAAGAACAGTTTCTTGCCCAAATGGCTGTTTTTGCCAAGAAGAAGATAAACTCCATATAGAGTGTCTTCGATGCCCATCCTCCTCTCTGAGGTAAATCGGTGCTACCAGGAGCAGACATGTCTCATTGTCCAGAAAAGTCTAAATTTTTTAAAATATTTTAAATGCCATATTCTGTAGGTCTTTGAAGCATTTGAAGACTAGATAGTTATAATTTTCTTTAGTTATGATAAAAGATAAGTTAGATATGAAACATTAGACTCACAAATATAAGGTAGATAGGATGTCTTCTTTAATTTTGCCAAATACAAATAGACTAGATGTCATAAATAGACTAAATATTGTAACTGTAATTCTTTTTGTTTGTTTGTTTGTTTGTTTGTTTGTTTTTCAAGACAGGGTTTCTCTGTGTAGCTTTGTGCCTTTCCTGGAGCTCACTTGGTAGCCCAGGCTAGCCTTGAACTTACAGAAATCCACCTGCCTCTGCCTCCCCAGTGCTGGGATTAAAGGCGTGCGCCACCGACACCCAGCTCGTAACTATAATTCTTGCTTGATAATTGTTTTGTTATATGTAATTTTACTATGTGAAAGTTAAAACCTTCCTTATTTAAAAAAAAAAAGAAGAAAAGAAAAAAGAAAAGGGTATGCTGGAGAGATGGCTCAAAGGTTAAGAGCACTGACTGCTCTTCCAGAGGTCCTGAGTTCAATTCCCAGCAACCACATAGTGGCTCACAACTACCCGTAAATGAGATCTGGTGCCCTCTTCTGGCACGCAGGTATACATGCAGACAGAACACTGTACATAATAAATAAATAAAATCTTTTTTAAAAAAGAAAAGAAAAGGGGAAGTGTTGTGGGATGTTCTCTATGCTGTGGATGTGTTGCTCTGATTGGTCAATAAATAAAGTGCTGATTGGCCAGTAGCCAGGCAGGAAGTATAGGCAGGACAAAGAGAGAGGAGAATTCTGGGAGGAGGAAGGCTGAGACAGAGAGATGCTGCCAGCAGCCCTAGTGAGAAGCAGATGTTAAGATACCAGTAAGCCACGAACCACATGGCAAGGTATAGATTAATAGAAATGGGTTAATTTAAGATATAAGAACAGTTAGCAAGAAGCCTGCCACGGCCATACAGTTTATAAGTAATGTAAGTCTCTGTGTTTACTTGGTTGGGTCTGAGTGGCTGCCAGACTGGAGGGTGAGAGAGATTTGTCCTGATTGTGGGCCAGGCAGGACTGGAGAAAACTCCAGTTACACAGGTGGATCTCTGTGAGTTTGCTCTCTCTTAACTGGGCCATCTCTCCAGCCCAGAAAAGAAACACATTTTTTTTTTTTTTAAAAAAGGATGTGGGGTTGGAGAGATGGCTCAGCAGTTAAGAGTGCTGGCTGCTCTTCCAGAGGACTCAGGCTGAGTTCTCAGCACCCACATGGCAGCTCACAACTGTCTATGACGCCACTTCCGAGGATCTAACACCCTCACGAGACATGCATGCAAGCAAAACACCCATGCATATACAATAAGAAATAAATAACTGAAATCAGTTTTAAAAAGGCAGTTGGAGAGATGGCTCAGCAGTTAAGAACACTGAGGCTCTTGCAGAGGACCTGGGTTCGATTCCCAGCACCCACAAGGCAGCTCACAGCCATCCACAACTGCGATTCTAGGGAGTCCAACATCTTCCTCTTACTTCTGAGGGCACCAGAAACAAATGTGGCATGCATATGCACAGGCAGGGGAAACACTCAATACTCACACGCATAGACACAAACAAACGAAAAACAGATGCAGCGAGGGGAAAATCGGAAACTCTGGCTGAGATCCAGAGTTTAACCCTGGGCTGGGGAAAGGATTCAAGAGATCAAGTGCTTTGTGAACACACACGGAGACGGGAGCTCGGATTGCCCTCCGCTCACACGATACCTGGAGAAAGAGGTACACACCTGTGACCCCAGGGCCGGGGCAGATGAGATGGCAGAGTTGCAAAGAGGTGGCTCCCTGGAGCTCACTGGCCAGCCAGTCTAGCAGAGAGCTCCTGGTTCACTGAAAGGACTCCGTCTCAAAATTAAGGTGAAGAGCAGTTGAAAAAGACAAAACATTGACTCCTCGCTCTGCACACTCACACGCCTGCACATGTGCACATAGAGCGCACTCACCAGATAGAAAATAAAAAGTTCAAGGCTAAGCTGGATGTGCTGGCTCACACCTAGAATCCAAACACTCGGGAGGTTGAGGCAAGAGGGCTGCTAACAAGTCTCAGGCCAGCCTGAGTGTGTCAGAGTGAGACGGTGTCAAAATGGAACATAAAGGTGGAGATGGGGGCCTAAGACTGTAGTCCCAGCTGCTACTGGGGAACAAGGGATATTGAGCCCAAAGCATCAAGGATTTGAGGCAAAATCAGATATAGTGACATGTAATCCCATCACCTGAGAGGTAGAGGCAGGAAAGTCAGAAGTTCTAGGTCATTCTTGGCTACACAGTGAATCTGAGGTTAGCCTGCGCTACATACCCAGGAAAAACTCCCACTCCCTGAAGACCCTATCAGAAGTAAAGGAGAAAAAAAAAATAAGGAACCTGCTATTATTCTTAATTACAGGGATTTTTTTATAGGACCTAATGTAGAAAAGTGAAAACCCTATGAGCCACCCAACAGTCATAGGAAACAAGGATAGGGTTTGCTCAGCGTGTCCAGAGGTCCTGGGTTTAATACCCAGAACCAAAGGGAAGAGGAAGGGAGGGAGGGTGGGAGGGAGGGATGCAGGGAGAGAGGGAAGGAAAGCTGGAAGAGGCAGAGCACACAGCTTCCATCAAAGACAGCTCCAGGAGACCGATGAGGGTCTCGCGCTGAGTCTGGGATACCCCCGTGGCTAGACGACCAAGAGTGAAAACTAAAGCCGCTAACCGGAGCATACTTTAATTAAAGCAGCGCAGAAGAGGACTTTGAAGCCTAGGGTATACATGACAGAAAGCTTTACCACTTGCTCCTAG